TTCCCAATTTCTTCAAGTTTTTCTTCATTTTTCATGAAGAGTCATTTGGAAATGAGGTTCAGTTCGTCATCCGCCCACATAAATCACTGGTATGGGAACCTAGTTCCCTGCCCTGACCAGAAGAATTCAAAAAAAAAACAATCGCTTTACTACAAGCTGAAGAATGACATAAACTTTTTGGATCCAGAACACTAAGCATTACATACTCGCACACTGTTTTCCTTTCAATTTAACACATTTGCTCCGATGGCTAATTTCGCATGACGTAGAACGCCCCTATTTTTGTCGCATGCACTGTAGGTCATATGACTCCGGTCGTCCACTCCATCACCAGCAGATTATCTGGTCCCTAGCTATTTTCGCCCTATAAATCAGTTCTTTCACTCATTTTTGCTCTCATTTATGCCAATTTTATGTCCTATATATTCTGTACTTTTTCCTATACATGTTCGCACGCGTGTGGAATATATTCAACTCTTGATGAGCTTACGCCAGGTTGATATATTTATTTTCGGCTAACGTTTCGACATCTTCGTCTTCATCAGAGCCGATGATCCGAGTCGATGTGCACTCTTGTTACTCGATATGGCGGCCTCGCCTTCGTGTCGAGTCAGGTCTTCCTCAGCTGGCCATCTCCTCGAATGAGGCATACTCACTTGGTGATGCCCTTTTATACACGATGCTGATGGTCGATATAACGATAATGTCCGGTTATAACAACTCATCAAGAAAGAATACATATTGATTAATCACACCGAGGTTAAAGGAAAGTCGGTTTCGAAATATTCAACTCTCTTACATTAATATGTATTCTTTCTTTGATGAGCTTGCACGAGGTTGATAATGACATTTATTTTTTTTCGGCTAACGTTTCGACGTCTTCATCTTCCTCAGAGCCGATGATCCGAGTCGATGGTCTTCCTTGTTATTCGTCTCGACGTGGCAGCTTCGCTTTTGTGTCGAGTCAGGTCTTCCTCAGTGAGCCATCTCGAATGAGGCATCCTCACTCGCGCATCTCGGCGCATCAGAATCAGCAGCGTTTAGAGCTTAACGAATCGAAACACGCAAGCAATACCTCGAAATCCACCGAAAATCCCAATATTGTACAATTGAACCTCGTGTTGACAAATAATGTATTCTACTCGCCGAGTTGTCCATTTAACGTCTGGCCAGTAGAATACATTATTACGTGGAATACGCATCTCTTACAACAGATGAGCGAAAAAAAGTGGATATAGAATGTCCAAAAAAAACTACATTCGGTGAAGTAAACAGGTGGAAAGAAGATTAGTATATGACTCATGCCGGCACTGGTATGCAAAAGGGCCAAACAAGCGGCGATAATGACCTAATCGCAATATATGAGCTCATATCGCTCTCAATACTGTTTCTCAGCAACTAACAACGTACAGTAATTCGTCCCTCACTAAAACTCTTGAAATTTAAAAACTGAAAAAATGTCAGAACAAAGTCTGTCTAACAAGTAGAGTTCCTGCAAAAATCAACGACCGATTGAAAATCAACTCGTAAGTGCGTGACAATCACTGCTACTCTTGGTTCCCCACTCACTTTATATCGGGAGAAGCTGTTCCTGCTGTTTCTTCTGGGTGAATTCGTGATGGTAAAAGAGGGTGAGATCCTTCGTAAAGAATAATAGTTCTATTTCTTTACTTTACATGAGCCGTCAACAAATCCACTGTGAGGATCTCAGCGCTTCATGCATTTGATTTGTTTTCCCTCGCAGTCATCGTCCACAATAGTCTTTGAACATTTGGCGCGTTGTTTGGGTTGCTACTTGAGTTCATTTTCTTTATGAATGTGGTAGAATGCTAGCTGAGTCGAATCTCTTTGCAATCTTGGAGATAGCCAAGCTAAGGCCCACATAGATTGAGAGAGGGCAAACCAAGTCCTTGCTTCCTGATGGAGTGCATCACCCACCGCTGCGCTGTACTCCCATTCCCAAAGGAATAAAAAACCAAAACAGGAAGGCTAATATCCTACAAAGAACGGTGATGTAAACTAATCCATTTATTTTTCAAAAAAGGACTTTCCTATGACTAATGAACATGCATTCTTACTGACAACCTAATAGAAGGTTTATAAATATTTTATTCGGTGAACGTCCTGGCGCCTTCGCGTTCTCCAGGACAGGATTGATCCATGTCGGTTGTTCACAGCTCTTCATTCTTCTAACAGAAACAACTGTCCTGTAAAAAAGAGCGCTGTCGAGTGAGGTTGCTACATTTGAGCGATGCTCCACTGGATTTGACTCAGTGCGTTCAAGAAGACCCATATCGGAAAAACGAAGAATTATGGACAATTGACTCGGATCAATCCAGTACTGAGGGAGGCGAAGGCGCTGAGACGCTAAGCGAATAAAGTTTTTTATCAGCCTCATGTTAGCTTATCAATGATAATGCCCACCTATCGCTCTGGAAGCAATGAATGGATCCAAATATTTGGTCGTGTCCCAATAAACTTTCCAACCATAACATAGTTTATTGTCATACGATTCATAACATACACATACCTATAGCTTTGGCATTGCTGGTTTTGCGCCTCCACATGGAGAGACAGTGCACGATTATTCTTGGGCATTCTGTAGGAGAATTCTGTGTATCCGGGGCGAACCAGTTGTGCCGAGAAGGAAAGACGTGAGACGCACGGGGACGGGATGTACAACAATTCGGAGTCACGGACGATCCAGCCAGTCCTGAATCAAACTAACTTTTTCTCCTCTGTTACTGTTCTGTTATTTTGCTGTTTATTTACCTGTTAACTAATTTAACGCTGTGCTAAAGTCAGCGAAAAAGGCGGAGATATTTTGTAGTCATACTCAGCGATATTCGTACAATCTATTCTATATTTACAAATTACAATTTTTAATTCTCTTCCCCTTGCTTAAAAAGGTGTTTGACAGATGCTTCTTCATACCTGTCATATGGAGTGGGTGTTAGATTGGCTAAAATACTCTTCAGTGACAGCGAAGAGTATCCTAATAATATCGCAGTGCTTTTTTCTTTTTATATGACCCGTCCACATCTACTCTACGTTTTCCAGCACTTCTCGCATCCGATTTATTTCCTCGCATCCAACATCCACGAAGGCCTTCCAACTTTTTTACGTTTGGATTAAAGTACTGCTTGAGGATTTTCGTTTCATCATTGATGTCGCTGAATTCCGGTCGAGTCTATTCTCTCTGGAGTTCTCAGATAGCCGGGCTAGAGCGTTTCCACTTGGATTGCCGAAAGTGAACTTTTCCCAGACAAGTTTGACACCAGTTTCTTGACCTCTAGAGGAATGAGAGATGAGAGTCTTGGTAAGCCTGGGCAAAATGAAACCCGCATCGTGCTCGTGATGATTGGCACTATTACCACCGTTCTACCCGCCTCCTTACCGCATTGATAGAGTAAGCAAATCCGAAAATATGAAGAAGCAAATTGAACTAGAGGAATAATTGAAACCAAACTGCTTCGACTGGCTAAGTAGGAATGTTATTCCTCTTCCTTACGCAATTCACATTGCGATTTTCTATCGACAAACGGATCTCCTTCATTGAGAGATTTTCTGTCGGATAGTCACAACTTTACTAAACGTGATTCCACAAGTGGCAGATAGAGGATTAAACATGGACCAAGGCTACTTTGTGCTTCCCTGAGACACAAGTGGATCCAGGGAATAGATTACCTGTTTCTGCTGCTCCAATTTGACACATTCCTTTAGTGCTTACGCAGATATGTTCATGCATTCGTGCGTGGATGTGTTCTCGCTTATGCAGATTTTATTCTATAAGTCAATTCAACCAAAAGGCTGCAATCAAGCGACTACAAATTATACGGGAGGCGGTTAAAGGTTGCCTCTAAAAAGTAACCTCCGTGTCTACGAAGCTAAGCGTGGTGATTAAATTCCAGTGAAATAGGAGGACCTCATTCCTCTGAGCACTCAAGAGTTCCAACACGGCAGCATTTAGTAGGACGCTGTTAAAATCTCGGGGCCATACTAAGCTACTTAAAACTGGAAGTACAAAGGTGGCGATTTGTAACTAAAATGCACGTTAACTTGTATCTGGTTCCTCCATCCAGGATTAATGTCAATATTAGCGTTGGTGTCAGCGTCAGAATGAAGTTGACCATGAATATCAATTTCTTTGAATAATTAACAACCCCAATCGGACGCTTATGTTTGAACAGACGTGGAACAACACCGCCCTAGAGAATCTTCGTCATCTACGCACCTAGATCGAGGTATAATGAAGAGGAAGTCGGAGCGTTCTATATGGACTTTGTTATATATGGCACTATGCTCATCGGGCAGATACCCAATGAGTGTAAATGACAATCCATGGACAGGAGTCGTTAACGACTGGATTCCACGGGATGTCAAGCATAGAACAGGCCTGATGGGGAAAACTAAGGTTCTAAAAGAAAGATGTGACACCCAGCCAGTCTCTAAAACGAGCAGAACCTACTCCTATAAACGGTGGGGGCAAATGGAGCCAGGGCATAAATGGAGCCTTCTCGAGTGATTCCACGATCAACGACTGGAGAAGTGACTATTTTTATTATTTATTTATATGACCCGTCTTGACGTCTAATGTACGGATCCCAGCACTTCCCAGATTCTATACGTTTCCTCACATCCATTGTCCACAAAAATCTGACTTTTCAAGTGTGGCTTCGGCTGCTTCTCGAAGGCTTCCATTTCATCTTAAATGTCGTAGAATGCTGGTCGAGTCAATGCTCTCTGGAGTCCTGAGGTAGCTCCCGACCCTGGAGGGATGAGAGGTTTGGTAGGCCTAAGAGCGGAGGCAAACTATCACCGTGCTCGTGATGACCGACATAATTATCAGTGTGCTATATGCCCCCTGGAGAAGTGGTACAGGTAATGTTTTTGTTGAAAGTTTCTGAAATTCATTGATGGTCTACTGAATCGAATGTAGTACTAATGGCGCTTAGTGTAATATTTTCTGAGAAGACGTGGATTACTCTGGACCCATCTCTCTACAGATATCTAGTTCTTGAACAGAAACCGATCGAATGTACAGCAATGCCGTCTCCGATGAAAAAAGAAACCGACTCCGGAGGACAGGGATCTGTCTGTGACCGTTCGACATCATCGAATTGCATTGCGTTCGCGTCGAAGTTCTCCACGGAAAAGCCAGCAGGAAGCGTGTAGAACTCTTCGAACCTGGCGCCACCACCGAGACTGTATTGACCTGTAAATTTTAGAGAATCAGTAAGTCTTAACGAACTTGTGTACGCTTCATTTAGCATACGGACGAATACTGTGTGAAATCGAGAAGAGGACTGATCAGATGGCTCACTTTATAGCTCAAAAAACTGTCCACAAAGGCCGAGAAAAGTGCAATTATTGTGACCACCTAAGGGTACGAATACCGGTCTTGTGAGTTTTTGCTCATTTAGTTGCGGATCCGAAACTACCTCTTGCACTCATGGCCTTCCTTTCATATTTGTTTCCCCACGTATGCAGCGTTTAGTCGGACGTTTCTTGTATTTCAGAGATGAAAACAAACAAAATATGCCGTCTTAGCCTAGGTCTTTGAACTTAGTCTATATCTAATCAATAATAATTTTCAACATTCTTCGTATTTAACTGTGCCCAAATAATCTAATGGCGTCCGTTATTCAGCGATTGTTTCGCAACGACCTCAAGACTGAACGGCCGTTGATCAGCGCAAGCATCAAAGAAGCGTGCAAAATTTCGTACCTGGCAAACAAGGTCTGCAAGATTGCGTCATGATGTCCAAGTAATGTCCCGCCGAGCACGAGAACGCTGAAACAGAGAGCATATCCGGTCTGGGAGGCTGTTTTTTTCTTCTGTTTTTGTGGACGGATTTTAAAAATAGTTCCCCTACGTTTGTGTGTAACGGTGTGTAATGAGAAGAACAGTAAATTCGTTGATTTGTGATCAACGGTTATCTCTGCTTGAAAGAGAACCTTCGTGTATACTTCGCGCACTGCTTGCTATCCACGCTCGCTCCTATAGCCGCAAAAGAAACAACGCACCTTGGTTTGAAAGCCTCTGCGAACCCAGTGTTTTAAACGAACATGATGAGCAAGGATATGTTTGCAGAAATCCGGTCGGGATTTTCGATCTGGTTTCGCAGCGTGGACTTGTCTGTGAACAATAAGAAGCTATGAAACGAAGACTCGAACTGACAGCAGTTCAATCCTCTCGTGGGTTCAGGTAGACCTTCGCAGGCGTTTGCATGAAATGGCAGAGCAACTCTCCAGCGCGAACCATCGGCAGCGCATTCCGTGTAGGCGAAGGTGTAGTCGGACGCGTCGCATCGACGGCACCAGCTGACCGGCACTCTGCTCATCAGCAGTACTCTGAAAATAATACTGCTACGACTGACGGTCCTTCCTAAGTCCCACTTTACAATCCCCGTATACGTTCTGTTTACCTTCTTCTCTTTGTGCGGTACTAAATATTCTCTAATAAAAAACAGTGTTTTCACTTTCTTCTGTTTTTGCTAGTATGAGTTTGTCGTGTGGTTCATTTAATGTTGGCCGCAATAAAAGTAAAACGATAAAGAACGAAGCTATCGGCGCTAACCCATTAATCCGTTATGAAGGAGGAAGGATAAAGTGCTCGGTGTTGATCAGTTTCTGAGGAATGCGTCATGCATTCGGCTTGACCCAAGCTCCGTTAAGGTGGTGGATAGCATATCTAGTTTACGCAGTAACTTGTAGTGGGCTACCAATATATCAGATCAATGCTGTTATTCTTCTACACAGATCTGGTACCAATTCGTCGACCCTGAAGGGACGGAAAATTTCGTGAGCCCTAGGCGCGGGATCCAAGCAAAGACCAAGTAGATATCGAGGGGCTCCTCTAGCCAATGAGGGCTCCAGTAATACGAGCACCCGTTGAACACAATAGAAGAGTGGAAACTATCACCTGACAAATGAGACGTGATATTAAGTAACTAAAGTATCAGCTTGGATGGATGTCGTTATTTTTGCAGTCATAGATACAAAAAAAAAATGCAACAGCAATGATGAGTACTGAGTCACATTTAATCCCTTTTTATTTACTGCCTTTCTTTTTTCATGGCAGGATATAATGTGCGATACAACCACAGTGATGCTAAGATATTTGCAAAACTCGGGACCGCAGGTGTCCGCGGTGGGGACCGAACACATTATTACCCAGACACCTGCGGCCCGGAATTTTGCAAACATCTCAGCATCATTGTGGTGATACTGTTTACTGTCCCACATATTTCATGTTTTCCGGAAAAAAAACTTCGCAAGTAAAACACTGGCGTGTTTTAACGATCAGCTGATTTCAGAATTACGGAATGGCCTTGGCGTACGTTACCACGCTCGAGCAGATCAGAGTCATGGATGGGGGCCGCACTAACGGTTAGAGGACACCCCATCTAACCATATAAGAGTACAACTAAGATAATACTGAGATATTGGCAAAACTCCGGACCACAGGTGTCTGCTGTGGGGAACGAACACGCTATTGTCCTTTCCGGGGAGTAACACGTTCACCACCACACCATGCGGGTCCTTCGTTTCGCCTGTCTCTCAGCTAGTTCTATCGATCGATCCCAGCAACATTGTGGTTGTACCGCTTAGTACCCTGCCGTGAAAATTGTAGTAGGCAGAAAATAAAAAGGTAAAACGTTGTGATTTAAACTACAACCTCAGCTTAACTGGATTCAATGCCGATGTGTGCTCCCCAGATCAATCCAGTTGACGGCTGATTGCTGATGGCACTGATCGATAGAACTAGCTGAGAGACAAATGAAACGAAGGATCCTCATGGTGTGGTGGTGAACGCGTTACTCCCCGGAAAGGACAATAGCGCGTTCATTCCCCACCGCAGACACCTGCGGTCCGAGTTTGCCGATATCTCAGCATTATCTGAGTTATATTTCACATCATACCCTGCCGTTAAAAATTATAGTAAGCAGTAAATAAAAGAGGTTAAGATCATGTAAGAGTAGTAAAGACCACCAAAAGCCGAAGGCAAAAAATCAAATCAAATCCAGTCTTATTCTCCATCGCGAATTTGAAGATTCCTTAGAAACTATGCATTGAAACACAGAAGTAAACGGAAAACAGGCAGAGAAGGAACTATTGCGTATCATGTGGCATCATCGGAATTTCCCGACTGGATGGTGGTTTTTAAATTCAAGGTCATTAATGATGTTCGCCTAGCGTCATTCGGATGACAACGGCATTAGTTTTGACAAGAGCATTCAAAAGTGGCTAGAGTCTAAACAGCGAAAATGTCTAAGGTTAAAGCAGTCGCTAGGAAGAAGGACGAAATACTAGAGCTTCGGACTTTACTGACTGTTCCGAATTCTGAACAAACATGTCGAAAACGACTTATTCGACAAGAGAATAAAGCATTCGAAATTTATGGTTGCTTTCTAGAGCGCCTACAACTGGATTTATATAGTGCATAAATGAGATCGGAAATACATGAGTAAGGCAACACGGCAGCGATTACGGATATCTCCCAGAAGTTTGTAAAGTTGATATGGTGCCTACTTGTCGAGGTTTCTCATCGTCTCCAAGTACTTTCAGAGTTTATCTATGAACTCTCATCTATGCGACCCATGAATACGATATGTCCTTCCGAAGATTTGTTCTATTTAATTAGCAAGTTACGAAATAAGAATTTGGGCAAATAGTTCGAGATTTCTCAACACACTCGGGCAAACCGAACAGTGGGTGACGTGCTGAGGCGTACCTGATCACTGTGACGAGCCAGGTCGACATCAGACGAGTGGCAACCGTCGTGTAGGTGAGGCGAATTAGCAGTACCACGCTAACCTTATTATGCTGGTTTGAGCGGTGCTAGTTAGCCTCTGCGTCCACGACCCGATGCTGTGCCGTCGATATTCCGCCCGGGGGGCTCGAGCACCTCCTCACGCCGTCTGCCCTCTATCCTCATTTGGCCTGAAAGGACTGAGCGCCTAGATCTGAGTGGTGGAGGAAAAAGGAATTAACACATAAGCGACCGTACATACCAAGTTTGATTCGAGAGCAGTTAGAGGACAATCAGCCATGTAAATCTTATACGACGCATATCTTTTCCGACTGTTTATTTTACCGCAAAGCCTTCATTGTATATTTTGTATTTAGTTCGTTGTTCTCTCACCACTGATGTTGTCCTAAGCGTGATGCGAGAAAAGCCACATTCTACACTTAATGGTTTGAGACTATGAAGATGTACTAGTGAGGAAACTACGATAACGTAGATAACGAGACTATAATGTAGAAGATTCTAGGATCTCAGTGCGTTCCGCATAAGTCTCAAGGCAATCGAAATCTTTTGTACAGACAAAGTAGCATTAAAACTGCCACTACTGAGGAGGATGCCTGCTGTTATCGCCTTGAGGTACAGGGTGTAAAGGGGACCATGCGAATCCCATAATATTCGTAGAAAGCGTCATGAAAAATCAGAAGTGTTACCTACAGCGTGGAACTGGCGTGGGCGTCTAATTTGCTAAACTGATCATCAGAACATAAAACGAGAATGATCTCGGTCCTCACTGTGCAAATGTATATAAGTGTGGCCTGTGCAGCACATGGACTATTTCTATCATTTAGATGAAATATACGACAGAAATAAACAACTCTATAAGTGTTTGGCTTCTGTGATAAGTGAAATAGATTCCGTTTCGGCAAATCTATTATTTGTTGATTTGTCGATCCATCGACTTTCCTCTCAGGATAGGACCTTTTAATTGATGTTCCATTTAAGAAATGCGTTCAGTAGATCCAAAACAATGAGAAATTGGTCGAGGTTCAAAATTGGTAAGATCTTAAATATGTCGCTTAGTTGCCACAAGTACTGCACACTCGTAGTGGCAGTCGACAAGTTCTGGGTCCTCCACAATTTCGTTTCTTGTAAGGCCTGAAAGAGTCCCGCTATACTCTCGTGCTCTTACTTAGCATGCTTTTTCGATAAAATATATCTCGATAATCAAACAGTAAAATTAATGGTCCTCATTTTCTCAAGCAAGAAAAAGTCCCAAAACGGCAGCGATGCGACGAGTACGGAAACACTACAAGGATCCTGGAACTCTTTAACACTGCATAAATTTGGAAGCACTATGGTGATGGTGGGTACCTGTAGCTCACACGGAGTAGTATCGAATCCTTTCGTTGGGTGCCTGACAATGCAAGTAAAAGTACTTACAATTTCATCGCATTGTGGTTAAACAAGAAGATACCACCCATTTAACGCATTTTAGGACACTGTAGAACAGAAACGTCATAATAAGTCCATGATCTCCGCTAACTACTGTTCCATGTGATAGTGAGAAATGGAGATTTCACTCACACGTGATCAACTCATTCGACAATCAAAGTGCGAACAAGTGACATAGGTGATCACTAAATCATCGTTGCAGTTCTCTTTATCGGACTGACTTAAGTCAGTGCTTCTCTTCATCTCAATAAACCGATTGCAAGTATTTGAGGTGAATACATAGGAATCTATTTACTGGACCACTTTTGAAAACTTGTCTGTATCTGCATGTATAGACTATCGCCCATCTTTACCAAATTACCCCTAATACATAACCCCAGAGGCTCAAATTTCTGTGGCTGCGGTGTGAGACGGCGCCTGGCTTCATGACGGCTGCACAAACAGTAAAATTTGCTCGGACTGAAACACCACAAAAAAGAGAAACACTGGTTTTCCAACAACAGACGGTTGTTTTTCGCTAGTTAGAAGACCTGAGGCGTTGAAGAAATGACAGAGTAGTGGGGGAAGCTTCGCCGCATCGCACCAAGTGTATAGATGTTAGTAAGTGTAAAACCTTTTATTCACTGCCTACTATAATTTTCACAGCAGGGTATGGTGTGAAATAGAATTACTATGATGCTGCAGTGAAGCCCACACGCGAAAAATTCGAAGACCTTCGTGTATGGTGGATGCGACGAAACGAATCGAATCCAAGAACTGCTGCGATCCACAAATTAATGTGAAAATGAGTCGTGTAACATAAAAAATGTTGGTCATGAATTGAATTTTATTGTCTTAAATCTCGTCACTAAACGAACAGATGAATAAGTGTTGATGAGATGAAAAGATTCATCGGTTTCTGCTCTGAGAGACTAGCAGAATACCACGGTTGAGTGGTGACTAGAGTTCAGATCCCGTTCATAAGACGTCGACTCGAAATTTCGCTGCCAAACCTCCACTTTGCTGACAACGTAATGGTTGACCGATGGATTATTTGCAGCAGTAGGAGGAGCAGGAATGGGCATTGAAAAACAGGCCATCCATCTGAAGCTGACGAGGAGACAGTGGATAAAGAACCGGAGCGGCTTAACACTGTTGAAATGGAAAGATTAAAGGTTATTGTGATATAAATAGTTCATGATGCGATCCCTTTCCACGAGCAGGACCTCCCGACATTGAAAGCGACAAGCGGACGAAGACTTTAGTTGAGACAAAACACCAAGTGGCTGCACTATGTACAGCGGTTCATCCGCCCGATCACACAGACGTGTTTGGTGAACCCATGGAAGAGCTATAGTGATTGTTTTGGAATCGGAAATGCTTCCTCTGCTTGTCGTTAAGTTGTCGCTTCTTCGAAGAAAGTGGTACCAGTGGGCTGAGAAGATGGAGACTATATTCGAGATGTTAAAAAGCGATGTACACATACGTACAACTTTTCTAGGAAGTAAAGCAAGCTATTACAGGGTTTGGAAGTTCTATGTGAACGTTGCTGATTGTAGATAAGGGCTCTAACTTGCCTATTAGTCGTTCTAGGACCTGTAGAACAGTGGTTAGTGGTGCCCTGCAATACGTAAGTGGTCCTTTGTCCGATCCCTCGTCCAGAGCCTACCAAGCCTTCCATCCCTACGGGGTTCGTGAATTTGATCAAGACTTGTCAGTAAGGATAGAAGTATTGGATTTACACATCGGTAGGCTACCGCAAGTCATTATTGTACGGACGAGGTATTTAATCACCTCTACGATGCCTTATGAAGTTGAATGCATAGCGCAGCCGTCAGGGATTGATCGACGTCAAACGCTTTGTAGTTTTTTCTATAAATAAAAGGATAAAGCTCTCGGCGGTGATCAATCCCTGAGGGATTCGCCATGCATTCCACTTCATTGAGTATCGTTGGAGGTGATTGAATGCATATTTGGCCTTTACAATAACTAGCGGTGGCCTACCGATGTATCGAGCAAGCGCTGCTACCCTCCCAGACAAGTCTGGTACCAATTTGCCGGCCACGGAGGGATGGAAGGATTGGTGGGCCATGGTCGCGTAGATCGATTCCACGTGTGTCGCAGTGGGGCCTCCAACCACTGCTCCACACGCGTCCCTTGTTTTTTATGTAAAGAGTGTTAGTTCGATGCAAAGTATGCAAATTGTACGAATTTGTAAATTTCAAACTCTAGATTGGAGAATAAATGTTCATGAATACAATCTTCAAAACCTCTAAAACAACACTAAAAATTGGTGTAATAAGAATTGATATATGTTAACAAATAGATAAGAGCATACTTTCTCGACACCGAACCAATGCGAAGAAGATTCCTCAACGATTTATCATCTTATTATAGTGGCGCGTGCGACGCAGTGGTCGGAGGTGCCTTGTGACACACACGTGGAATCTATCCACGTGCCCACGGCCCACAAAGCCTTCCATCTCTCCGAGGTCGGCAAATTGGTATAAGACTTGTCTGGGAGGAATGCAGCACTAACTCGATACATCGGTAGGCCACCGCGAGTTATTGTAAAGGCGAGATATGCATTCGGTCGCCCTCCAACGGTGCTTAATGAAGTCGGATGCATGGCGCATCACTCAGGGATTGATCAACGCCAAGAGCTTTATCCGTTTATCCTTTATCACAGCGAAAGCGTCTACTCAGACGGGATACTTCAGAATTCAAGGCCAGCAGAAGACGCCCTTCTACTTCCCTTTCACGGCCGCAGTCTCAGTGGTGGATGTTTTCTTCAACAGCATTAATCTCTATCTGCGACATGAACTCATCCAAAAAAACGTCTTTGTGAACTGCTAGGTATAAAGAAGAGATTTTTATGGATAGGAATTGACACATGCTGTGTTGGATGGTCTATTTATTGAATAAAAAACCTTAGTGGTGAAGTTCTGTGCAGCAAAATAAGCCATTGAAATGTAAGTGCATTGCGTTTAATGCACTTCGTCTACTTTGACAGCTCCACCCAGTCATGCAATGCACACAATGTTTTTTCGACGTTAACGTTTCAGAGGCTATATCTTCATTTGTTGCCATCGTGATGTCAAAGATGTAACACAACTTGGTCAAAACATCCCTACAAACTTAATGAACACCTTGAACGTCGACTCCTAGCCTTTCCTGTCTTCAAAATGCCGTTCGTTCGTCCGCAATTATGCGCTGTTCAGAATTTCGGGATACTGTAGGTGAATCCACTACCACAGTCCGCCGTCCATTTTCCTCTTCTGATTCCATCGCCTCATTCTGGACCTAATGTTCGACAGAAATTTGCAAGTATTTTGCTTCGCGCTATGTTTTTCATCCGTGGCGATGTTGAGTCCTCACCCAAAACTCCTCCTCATTTCATTCGATGGCTTTCGCTACGATTTACTTAATGAGACCATGGTATGTTACAAGGTGCCTTATGTTCTTTGATGTTTCCCTAAGTTTTTGTAACCTTTTAAGGAGTTAAAGAGACAACACACATTTCATATGTGGTTGCGAAAGAAACTGCGGTTGAATCATTGAATAAAAGAGAAGATGCTACCAAGGAATTGGAAGCAAACGAAAACCGAAGGTGGAGTACTCCATTTCTGATTGCAGACCCCAAACATTTATCGATGGGCCATTAATTCGACATGGTTCAAGAATGGCTCGAGATCTCAGTTTGTAACCTACACAGCACCAAATCATATGAGCATCGTCACTGGTGAGTTATCCTAGTTTTCACTCATTCTAAGAACTGTTTCATTCCTGATAACTGTAGGTTTGCATGAAGTGAAGCATGGGATCGTGGGCAACTATTTCTACGACACCGCAACAAGGAAGTTGTAAGTTTGTGCTTCGAGTGATGTTCCACTCATTCTGCCCTCGTCGTCTGGTTGTCATTCCTTCGTTGTGTTCCTTTTAGTTTCGACTATTTCAATCTGACGGGCAAAGAGGGTGTTATCAATGCATCTTTGGACTCGTCATGGTACGAAGGCGAACCAGTTTGGTTAACGAACGAAAAGTAGGTGAATAAATGTTTAGGGAAAACATTTTTATTTATTGTCGTGTTTCTCAAGATTAAATGATGTATTCATCAAATTACACATCCGTTTAAGGTCTGATTCTTCACGGCGATCGGCTACATTTTATTGGCCACAGGGAGATGTACATTTTCGAACTCCTCCTCATCGTCCATTTTTCTACAAGTATTTTTTTTTACATGGGAATTAATCCTCCACATTGCATTTCACCTTGAAGAAGAACATTTTTAAGCTTTCGAGATTTCATTGAAGGCAATGGACTACGTACGGGAACTTGAGTCAGTGGATGTCTGATGTTGATGACATCGTCGATGCGTTCATGTCGGAGGAGCATCCTGTAAATTATGTGGCGTGGTGCGTGCCCTTGTCAGGTTTTTAGATATCACCTATTTGTTTTTCTTTTCCTTTGTTTTTAAGGTACGTAGCTGAACCAGATCATACTTTGCATACGAACGGCTTTTACAACGGTGAACTTCAAAAGATGCTTCACGAACTTGACGAGCTTTTCGGCTACCTCCTTGCCAAATTTCGCGAAACTAGCCTTGAAAATAGCGTCAATGTGATACTAACTGCTGACCACGGTCATGCCGAGGTAACAGTGATTTACATTGATAAACTTTTATTTTCTGCACTGTAATGTTCCATGGCAGGGTGTGGTGTGAAATACAACCATAACGATCGTGAAATATTCGCAAAACTTGGACCCTGGGTCAGGTCGAACCACGATTACCCTTTCTGGGGGCTCGCATACTACACACTGCACCACGGAGGCTCTTGTTCTGGTTTTCTCTCAACTAGTTTTCTACCTAAAGCTGGCATCAGCAATCATCCGTCAGGTCTGGCGCAGGGTCCAAGTTTTGCGAAAATCTCAGCATCGTTATAGTCGTTCACATTGTTTTCGTGCATACTCTTCCACATCTAGTAAGTTTTTAGTCTTTCTTTTTCGTTTCAATTTCCATTTCCAGATTGAAGGTGTAAACAACGTTATGTGCATTCGAGATTATGTGAAGCTCGACAGCTCCAAGATCGGGGACCATATGATTTATGCGGACAACAAAGAAATCGCTCGTGAACTCCACCAGAATCTCACAAACGCCGTGAAGAGTTTCGGTTATAAAGTTGATGTATACATGAAGGAGGTATACTATGTGAATCGAATAGGCTTCACAAAATTCACTTTTCCTGTATTTCATCATGAAGTCTAAATCTACTTTAAATACATGTTGGTTTGATTTTTCTAAATGCAGACATATTTGCGCTCCTTCAGAAAAGTACGCTAAAAAGAGACTTTTGGGCTTTCATCAGACGATTTTCCACTGAGGTTTTGTTTTATACGCAGAATTCGAAATGAATCACTTCCACTCCTACGGAGAGCAGATCGAGTAGGATGAATTTATGTCAACTCATTTTGTCTGCACAGAGGTCTTGCAATAGTTCCTGTATTCATTCAATTGTTTCTCAAACGTAGACAAGTTCACAAGGTATTCGGCCAGAAAAATGTGCTATATGCTAGTTTACAAAGTCTGTTGAACAAGTTCGTCATACCACAAAGCCCGTTATTTGTAAGTAGAACGTAAACATGGGGGAACGTCACGGATTTGAATGGCTCTAAGATCTCCTTGCGTCCTTTATGAGCCCAGCGAAAATTAACCGCCTTTTGTGCCACCATAAAGCGAAGTAGAATAGAACGCTTACGTGGAGGTGCTCACATGAGTTGATTTCAATTCGTGACGCATGTGTCGAAAGATCACTCTTCGACTATACGTAGAACGTGAAATGGACGCGCGATTAGTCAGCATACACTTGATGTTAATGCACATTTCTCATAGCCTTTACAGGATGTTCCTGCACGGTACTATTATTCAAACTCTACACGCATTGGTGACGTCATCATTGTACCTCAAGTTGGATGGGCTGCATCATTTACCTGTACTAGGAAAGAGCTTTCTGAGTGAGACGCTACTTTTTTTTAATATGAATATCTTTATCCTGTTGCTTGAATGTTTGAGGACCTATGCTCCCGGAAAAGTCAGGTATAATTCCTCTACACATGGTATGGATCCCGATCGTAAGGAGATGCGTGCTGTGCTCGTTGTTGGTGGTCCATCAATCATGTCCGGAAGGAAGGCATGTATACTGATGCATTTCTATTTGTAAATAGGCGAACAGTATTGCGTTTTTAGGTCTTAGGAGTGCCTGATAATACCGACTTGTATCCATTTATGTGTTGTTTGCTGTCAGTTCCTGCTGCGACAAATAATTCAACATTGTCAATAATTGGAAAAGCTCTTCGTCCGCTGGAGTCTCGATTAACAACTAAATCCTTAATAGTTAGAGAAGAGACTAGAGTACGTTCTTTATATTGTCTACTTCTTGGTTCCTATTGTAGAGTAGACTTTGACCAAATTTTATAGAGTAACCTCCAACTTCCAATTTTTCATTTGTGATTCCTCTTTACACTTTCCTTCTTGTTTATTTTAGGTGTTCCTGGAACCTCACGATTCCGGTACGTTCATGTTCCTTGTTATAACCACATCTTTCATTCTTATGGTTTTCGTCGTATATGCATGCCGGTATTCCAAACTTACGGAACAACCAGTTTGGATCTGGAGTCAGAAAGGATATCGCCCACTGAAGACAGATCTTTGCAGTGCAGAACAAGTAAGCTTGCGAAAAATATCGTTCCTGTGTATGTGCAATTTTGCTGAAGTCATTTATTTACTTATGAGTTACTGAAGCATGATGGCGTAGTCTATAATATGCCCTTGCTGTTTTGGTTTCTAGAAATATAGTTCGTTACTTGTATGTTTGCATAAGAACGCGCGTAGCGCAGTGTTCAGAGGCCCTCTGCAACATACGCATGGGATCGATCCCCACTCCCACGACTCACAAAGCCTTCCATCTCTCCGGTGTCGGCAAGTTTGGGAGAATAGCACATAGTGGTAGTTAAAAGTTAAAAGCTAAAGTATTTCAGGGTGTGTATCAGTCTAAGGGCGCGTGTGGCGCAGTGGTTAGAAGCGCCAGTGCGACACATACGTAGAATCTATCCCCGTGCCCATAGCCCACCAAGTCTTCCATCTCTGGGGTCGGCAAATTGGTACCAGACTTGTCTTGGAGGATAGTAGCACTTGCTCGATACATCGGTAGGCCACCGCGAGTCATTGTAAAAGCCAGATATGCATTCAGTCACCTCCAACGATACCTAATGAAGTCGAATGCATGGCAAATCCCTCGGGGATTGATCATTGTTGAAAGCTTTATCCTTTTTCCTTTTTACCTGTGTATTACCTTACTTTTCGCTTTTTAATGTAGACGAAATTTTTCTTAGGACGTACTTTCAGGGAAAACACATCAATGATTCAATATCTTCGGTGAGAAAAAATAACAATGGAGAAGGATGGAGTGAAGATGAGTTCTAGAGCTTTTATTACTGCATTCTAATTTCTTTTATGTTTACCGATACTTTTAGTGCTAGTATTTTTTTGTGTATGATGGGCATTAGAGTAATTTTTGCATCTTCTGGGCATTTTATGGGTGACTTCATATCTTCAGTATCTGTTTTTTGTTTTTGTTTTGTTAATAGAAAACTGTAGGCTTGTAAATAGATATAGATTTTGGAGATACAATCTTTGACATTTCTGCATCCTTCTCTGCTATTTGATCAATGCAATGTGAGAACTCTTTCAGAGTCTATTCATATAGGTCAACTGTTCTTCGCTTTCCATGTTTCACTGCTTTGGATATAACCTTTGCAGGAGATCCTTTTTGCTCTGCAGACATAAAGCTTTTCTCTGATTCAAACGTTCACGATTTTGGTTCAACATATCTGCATATTTTGTCGTTCGACGGAAATTTAAGACTTTCACAAACAGTTCTGTCTACAGTCAATGTCCCTGTTACCGAAGACGACGGATGAATTTACGGATCCCAAATTTTGGAAACGTTTTTTCGAAACAAGGAAAGCACCATTTGAATGGTTGGCCTTCTTAGCTTTTATTCCCAATAATAATTTCTTGACCAATTGCTCGTTTTTAGGTATGGGGACTACAGTATTCTCGGTTCAGTCTTGGAGAAGTATCTCAGACCGGGGGATACAGTACTTCAGATTGGGTGTGGTAACTCGCGTTTAGCAGAGGAGGTCTGTTTTTGGATTTTGTGACTGGAATTCCTAACCTTTCGCCCCTAATCGTTTTGAGACATGTGCAGATGTACGACAATGGGTTTCGCTCAATACACAGCATCGACGTGGATTCTGCTGTCATAGAGGAGCAGCGATCACGCAATCGTAAGCGCCCCGAACTTCTCTATGCAAAGGACGATGCGACCTCTGTTGGTATTTCCACGTCATTCACTTTCTTCTCATCTTCTTCCCCTACACTTTGTGTCTTTAATTTAGTTGTCTTTTGGCGATGACCTTTTTTCTGTGGTGGTTGATAAGGGAACGCTTGATTCATTACTACCTCCTCATGCAACTGAACAACAGACAGAGTCAGTTCGAAAGATGTTTCAAGAAGTTGAACGAGTATTGAAAGAAGGAAAGGTGTTATCCGTTTTTTTTATCATTTCGGATCAGGCTTATCCAAACATTCTTTTACAGTAGGACGTTATTTGGTTGTAACACTCGCACAACCTCATATCGCAAAGTTCTGGGTTGATCACTTTGTCAACACGTAAGTGCATCTACTGTATATCGCTCATGTTCCTTTCTTACCGGCATTGTTTTAGGCATCGATTTCTACTACGTGTTCATGAAGTTGAGAATCGGGCTTCTAACTTCTCCATGCCGGTATTTGTACTTGTAGCTACTAAGCTTCGAAATGTGGTGAACATTCCTATGGTGAGCATCTTATTGTAACGTCATCCAGTCTCTGAAGAAGGCGATACTATGGAAGTAAACGTGTGCTGAATAACAATCTCGCGACTTCTGAAAAAGAAAACGACACATTTGTCATCCTATCTATTATCTATTAACCGATGCTATCGAAAACACTTCTGTACGCGCGTGTGGTGCAGTGATTGGAGTCGCCTCTTAATACACACTTGGGATTGATTCTCTCGTTCCGTGGTTCACCAAGCCTTCCATTCCTCCGGGGTCGGTAAATTGGTCCCAGAGTTGTCTGGAAGGGTTCCAGCACTGGCGCAGCACACTCCCCTTCCCGTCATTATAGCTGGGGAGTGTTCCTGGTTACCCAGTCACTATATGCAACTGGGAATTCATCCTATCGCGGAGGTCACAAAAGCTGAGAAGGAGTCGACATCCTCATTCAGCAACCCCTAGATAGGAGCACATTCAAATGTGGTCTGACATAGAACGATAGGTCAAATTCTGACTGCTAACTTTGCGAGTGAATAGCCTTGTGCAAAAAGTGTGGTGCTGTTCTTGTCTTTTGAAGAAGCGGTGTTCACTAAGCGGTTCTTATGTACAACTGTGTCCAGTGGAATTTTTACCAATGGGAATTAACTCAAGTTATTCAGTGTTCATTGTGATTAAGGGAAGGAATAAAACTGTCTTGACAGCAGTTCTTATTTTTCGAAATGGTTTTTACAGCATATTGCTTTAGTTATCTCACTTTTGTAATGAATGGTTTACTGTCGTTTCTACAATTTTTATGGGCAAAATTTGCTTGAAGTAAATTGGAATATTCCCCGGAAAGGGCAATAGCGCGTTCGTTCCCAACCGCAGACACCTGTGGTCCGGGCTCTTGCGAATAGCTCAGCAACACTGTGGTTAAATTGGCATATTTATTCCAGATTTTTGCAGCCCATCGAGCTATTTCTCCAAAGCAGTAGTCGCGTTGAAAGAATTAATAACCCTGACGATCTACCGACGTTCATCATTTCTGAGCAAGAAATAAGCCAATTTGTGCACCTGTGTTCTAGGTTACTCTCTTCCAGTTCCATTTTATCTCCATTTCCGTTACAAATCACATTTGTATCTTGTTGCTTCGTTATGACGCTGTTAGGATTTTAGGAGGCTAGATCATGAAGCTTCTATTGCTATCGAAAGTCGATTTGAGTGCGGACCTCGATATCGTATCCACATTGTTGATAATATCAAGACGGAAACAATCCGAAGCTATGCCGTTTTTATTGTACCTCTAGGACGGTATGCACATTCAACGTTATTATGATTTGAAATAAGATCCGTTATGAGTGAATTTCCATTCCTATGTGATGGAGATTGAAGTGGATTAAGTTGATATCAGCTCATCTTTTTTGTGGCCATTTAATTTTCCATACAAAGGTCTTTTATTGTACTTTTCGTATTCATTCGAAACCTCCAACGCCGAATCTTTCCATTATAATAAGATAGCAAATCGTTGAGGAGACCTGTGTAGGTGGATTGTGATATAGCTGTGGAGCCTACGAAAAGTTTTTGTAGGAGAGCTAAGCGGTCATCACTGTACCTTCACAAATGGCCCCGTTTCCATTTCTTACTGTTATAATTCACAAACACCACACTCAGTTATACTTATTGTATACAATTCTTGCAGTTAATATTTCCATTTACAATCTTTACAACCGAAATTTTCATAGCTAACTTTTTGTCACAATTATTGAGGAAATATGGACAAAAGTATCTGTTTCATCAATTACGTCTATTGTCTGCCTGTTTAAAACGTGTACCACAAGTTTCTGAGTTCTGCATTCTTGCCAGTGCCGGCCAACACAACTTCAACTTATTCTTCTTTCTAATTTCGTTCCAAGGTATGGCTAGCCGAGGGTGCAGCTATAAGCACTGTCTTTCGGAATTATTGAAGTGTTTTAGACATTTTATCAATAGACCTTTCACGTTTTTATACTTTCGGTTCTAGTGGACCACTCAATTCTCCTCTTCTCACCCCTTGTGAAGAATCCGCTTTGGAAGCCTTTCTCTGTCCTTCTTACATGCGCACACTAGATATCCTTTCCTCTTAAGCGGTCTCTGAGCTAAGCAGACACTCATATACCAGTATTTCTACCTAAGTTGGTCCAGCTATTCCACGGGTTCCATCAATTATATAAATGCTAACTTTTGAATTTACTGATTCTCCTTTCCTTTCTAATCACTACGATGATTCACTCCCATGCTTTACCTTTAACTAGAGCAACGTGCCTCTATATAATTTACCGGTAGAGTTGAAACAAACATATCTCAGCTTTCACCTTTATGAACTTCACATATTGAAGTGAAAGCCAGTAGGTTCTACAGATCTTTCCAACAAGGTACAGGTTCTGTTGTTCTAGAAATACGAAATCCTGATTTTGTGGGGCATCCTCCTGCAAGACATCAAGCGGTCTCCCATGATGCATGGTTAATTTTTACTACCGCCACGGGTGCTTTTAAGATTTCAAAGTTTTAAGGTTGCTTTTGAATTTTCCGAGGATTCTAATTGCAGACAGAACCAAATATAAAAACAACAATTTAGGAAACTTTTACATACCTTTAGAGTGACACAATGAAATCTATTAAGTGCTGAACTCCTTAAGGAATTTAGGGTCTGGGAATCACTAGGTATTGTAGGAAAAACAATCACTAGGTATTGTAAGAAAAACAATGTCGTAAATTATGTGCTAACGATGTAGAAGTGATGTTTGGCGAGCAATTATTATTTCTATCCCTTACGATGCACCATCATATTTACTTGTGACATAAGTATAAATAAAAGATACCAATATATAGTTCACATAAATGGAAGTAGCACAGTGGTAGTGATGCCGATTATCACGAGCACGGTACTGATTCGATTTTGCCCGGGTTCACCAAGCCTCTCATCCCTATGGAGTCGGGAAATTGGTACCAAACTTCTGCAGTCCAAGTGGGAGCGCTCTAGCATGGATATCTCAGGACTCTGGAAAGAAGCGACTCGATCAGCATTCAACGACATTCGTGATGAGAGAAAAATCGTCAAATAGCAGCCGAAACCAAACGTAAAAAGTCAGAAGACCTTCGTCGATGATGGATGCAAGGAATCGAATGCATGAAGTGCTGGGATCCATATAGCGGACTTGAAGGACGGGTCGTTTAAAAAACTGGTTCACATATGTTGTGAAACCGACCATCATTTGCTGAGAGCAAAGTAGTTGTATTATAGTGGGCAGTGGAGCCATTTGTTAGGGAGCAACTGCGGCATGAGTGGCTATCAACTAATAGCGAGTGCGGCGAGAAGTTAGGTGTCAAATAGATTCGACAGTCAGATGGAATTAGGAGTCGGAGTCTAAATGTTATGACTGTGAACTCCATGTATGGAATTCTTTCCCCTTTTGCGACATTTTTTTGCGGGAGCAAAATTACGTGGGGTTTTCAAATTGAATAGTGTTTGTGCTTTTAATTTTGTGTAAATCACTTCATCTTTAGAGAAAATGAATGGATATTTTCGTCGGAAAAAGGGCGTTCTGCCTTACGCCACCAAACGGGAAAGGTGAGCCATAAACGTTACGGTTAATGTGACAGAATTCTGAATGAAAATTGCAGGATCGGTTAGCAGTCGTGACGTTGTCGCGAACTCAAAATTATTCTTCTCTTGAGGAAGTGAAGAACGAACTTGGTCCATTTGCCATCAGATTTGATCCCCGAAGAAATTCCAGCTTGGTTCGTTTTACATTCTGAAAGTGCTTTTGTTCTTGCGTTTGAACTTATGCTTTATTTTTTGATTGATTTCCTTTCCTGTGGAGATGTAGATGCGCGGACACCGTGTGCATCCGGAAACTCGTTATTAAATGGAGAATGGGTGGTTGAAGATGTTGTATCCGATGGTCAAGAGTATCGGCGACTTATCTTCCTCACTAGTAGCCATATCGTGCAGTCCGAGACCTATCTCAAATGTAATCTTTGTGAATTTTTCATTTTATCTTTACGAGAGGAGATTGCTGTAGCGCATTAGTTTATATCCCTCTATTCCGCATTGGGCATATTTTCTTTAGTTCGATCCGCACCAGAGGAAAATCATTCCCTGTCCCTTCGAGGTTTGGAAATTCGTACCAGAGTTTCCTTATGGAATATAGAAAACTTTAAACCGACGCATTAATAATTCCCTTGAGTCATCTTTCTTCAAATGGCTGTATGCACTCAGCTACTATGCAGCTTAATTGTTGAATGGACAAAAGTTGATATCTGTGAAGAAAATGAAATTTGTTGTATTGGTTATGATACAAGATGTAGAATGTAATGCGACTCCTGTGACAAAAGAAAATTTCAGCCGAAAGAGGAGGAATGAAAACTGTCGATCTGGATTCGTTGAGTTGCGATCACCACTCGCTTATGCTAGCGGGGCTTTCGATAATGCCAGGGAATCCTCTAGCTGATCCTTCATCGATACCCCTTCGGGTCCCTAAAAACGGCTCAATTTTTCATTCATGATAACCGAAATTGTACTACTTCTACATTCAAAAATTTAGTTGGCTGTTCTCGGGCTCGGAGGCGGAGTACTGGCTTCTTTTCTGCTTCATCATTTTACGAAGGTTTATTTCCGTTTCTATTTATATTTTTGGAATTAGATTCTAACTTTGACTTTTAAATTTCTTACTATAAGGCCTACATCGATGGTATCGAGCTTGATCCGGATATTGTAAAGGTCGCTGTACAATGGTTTGATCTGCCTGAAAAAGATCCTCGTTTGAATATTAATGTGACAGATGCTCTTTTCTATCTTGAATGTGCCGCTGAGAAAAGTTAGTTCTTTTTTCCACATTTCTCTTGTTTAAAAATAACCTATTTTGCCTATGAATAAGTATCAAAGTTGGATTGTTGGAATGTGCAGCCCTTTCATAACTATGTGCTCTGATTTCAATATATATGCTGGTGTGCGTTTCGGATCGTACATGCTGACTACAATGCGCATCTGTCATCTCAAGCGCGCTCCAATGATGAGCAATCTGATGGCCCTGCCACACGAAGATCGCCGCGATCGTGAAAGTGTTTAAACTTTTGCAATGTAGCAACTATTTAGTGAGTTGACAACACTGCTTCTCTCTCAATATTCCCACATAGGTACACCAGAGACCATCTTGGAGAAATTAACGTCACGATCCTTTAAAGTCAACCAATGGCTTGCAGAACACAGGTTTTATATTGAGGCTGATCCTATAGATATATATTGCTAGTTATCCTTCCAAAAATCGATTTCGAACGGTGGGTATAAAAAAAACATTTTTGCAGACAGCTGGGAATACCATGGTTAGATTATGAGCGATTTTTTCTTACCACAAAAGTTGTTCAAGAACGTGGAGAATATACATAGAACAACATAGCGGATATGTAGAAGTTAGACACACATGAAAAACATGTGACGAAACAGTAGAACAAGAATCTTAGGAAACTAATCCCTCATGCCTCTTGCACGGGCTCAGGTACCGTACGCTTTGATTTCAATGCGTATTCATCCGACTACGGTCGATGTGGTCCGGTGAGCGCGACATGTGATAATGGCGGTGGTCGTAAAAAGGTTAAAAGAATGTAAGCTAACGCGAAGTACATTAATCCACATGGATAAATGTGGATAAGTGAAAATCCGATACGTTTTAGCGTGCACTTCAGTGTTTTTCATTCCGAAAGTTTAAGCAGCTTTCTGTTCAAAGTTTGCCGAATTCTGCCCTTTGTATGTTTATTGTTAGCTGACCTTTTGCGTGAAAGTATCAGGCTGTTTTCCACCTTGAGAAAGGACATACTACTCTATGCATCGTAGGTCTGTGAGCGTCTAGAAGAAATCTGCAGGTAACCAAAAGCAAAAGTGACATATAACTCACATTGATTAAATCCTTATGAATCTGGTGAGACTACAACATCGGTTGACACAAATTTGCTCTGTCTAGTTTGTCGCTGATTCTACTGACCTACCAGAAATTCTAAATCATTTTCGTCTCAGATTTCATGAGTCCCACCATCAGTTCTCACCATCCTTCCTACTACTCTTTAAAGGAAATTTTCCACCAATTTCTATTGGGCGGAATTTTTCACTGATAGTTCTGAATTGAAAGCGTTCTATAACACTACTTTATGAGCAAACACGAGATTGACATTATAGCGTTCATTAGCACACAATAGCTGGCGTTTCGGCGGTTTCGCTTTCTTCAGAACCTGCAAAGCCCAAATTAAGCAATCTACTCAGCCAAACACTTTCATAACTGATATATTTATTTATATGGCAGACAAGAAAGACTTAGCACATTCATTTTCATTCGTAGAATAAACAGCTTCTTTCAAACACTTACCGTTGTAGTTCCCAGGATCGACTTTCTCTTAACCTCGGCATTGGAATATGAATGTCGTTTTCTTGTTCAGCAATCGCGAGGTTTTTAAACAGCATACATTTACTTCCATAAAAACACAATACAATACAACGCTAGCTGACGTTTCGGCAGTATCGCCTTCTTCAGAGCCTGGAAGGGTGTACTGATATACAATCTACTAGGCCAAACGCTTCAATAACACTTACACAAAGACGAAAGGCTCTTTAGTAATTACACGATCAACAACTTCTCGAAAAACCCACCCCTTTTTTGTGACTTCCAATGAGGAAGTTTAGAACAGCTGATTATAATCGCATGTGGTTGACGACTGCACCATCGCACATCAAAAATCGATGCGAACGTACGGGATCAGGTCGCGTATGACCTCCGGGCATTCGTCCCTGCTATTCATTGTAGGGTTTTTGGCATTGATCCAAAAAGCCTCTAGGAGTTTTCGCGCTGGTGTTTTGGACTCCTGTGCAAGGATATTGACTTTTACTTCAAAATCGTCTCCGCTATGCTTTTGTATCCTATGCGCGCCTAGTGGGGTGCTTCGTCTTAGTTTTCGTTTGCCATCTAGGTGTTCTTTTATACGGATACACAAAGCTCTGCCCGTTTCGCCAATATATTCATCTCTGCAATTATTACAGGAGATCAGGTATATCGTACCTGAACTCATGCAATCAGCGTCCCTGCCATAAGGGCAAATTACACAATTTGTTGTTTCACACAGACGGTCATACAGGCGGTTGCGAGCTAATTGGCGACGTAGAGTAGCCGGTGGTATTTCAACTATCGCTACCGTTTCCTCTAGACCTGCCCTTCTTAAGCATCGTTTTATAGCTGCGCTTACTTCATCGCTTATAAAAGGCAACATAAGCGGGATTTTATTTTGGCCAAGTGTTTCGCGTGGGCGCGTCGTTCTCCTTGTAAACTTATCTCGTGGGGTTACTATTTCGTAGCCATTGGAGATGGCGATTTGCCGAGCCAAGTCGCGCGATTCTTCCTTTAGTTCCCTGGTAGTGCACACAGAGGTGGCTGTTCGAAACATGTTTCTCACAATCGCCCTCTTTGTGTGTGAAGGGTGGGAAGAAAGGAAATGAACAAGGATGTTCTTGTTACTTGGCTTTCGATACCACTTTGCCAGGTAACCGCTACTTGATAGGTTTATTTGGACGTCCAAAAACGGAAGCCAGTTTTCTCTCGGTTTCTCCCGGGTGAACTTTATGTACTCGGACTGCTCGTTCAATAATTCAAGGCATTTGTCCATCTCCTCCTGCGTAGAGAAGACGACAAAACAATCATCTACATATCTGCAGTAGATTAGTGGCCGGAGATCGAGAACAGGGGCTTCTATCTTAGACATAAACACAAAGGCCAGGCTTGGTGCCAATCCCTGTCCCATTGCCAACCCCTTTATTTGCGCGAAATATTTCCCAGACCATCTGAAAATCGAGCAGTTTAGGCACTCCTTTAAGAGAGCCATTAGCTGCTNGATGGACAAGCCATGCATATTTATTCTTCCTTCATGTTCAACAAGAAGTTCGAAGATGGCTTGCATTGCGGAGTCATTCGATACGTTGGTGTACAGTGCGGTAACTTCGAAAGACTCCATCACGTACGCGTTATTAGGAGACGCGTTACGTAGACGTTCTAGGAACATTTGGGTGTTTGTGAGGTGAGCTGGAATGTGGTTAAGCAACTGGGTAAATATCAGGCTTAAAAACCAGGTTATTCTATCCGTTGGCCCGTCTACGCAGCTGATGATCGGTCTAACCTTAAATAATGACGGATTGGTTGACGCATGATCATCAGGTGATACCAACTTATGTGTTTTANACAGGGGCTTCTATCTTAGACATAAACACAAAGGCCAGGCTTGGTGCCAATCCCTGTCCCATTGCCAACCCCTTTATTTGCGCGAAATATTTCCCAGACCATCTGAAAATCGAGCAGTTTAGGCACTCCTTTAAGAGAGCCATTAGCTGCTTGATGGACAAGCCATGCATATTTATTCTTCCTTCATGTTCAACAAGAAGTTCGAAGATGGCTTGCATTGCGGAGTCATTCGATACGTTGGTGTACAGTGCGGTAACTTCGAAAGACTCCATCACGTACGCGTTATTAGGAGACGCGTTACGTAGACGTTCTAGGAACATTTGGGTGTTTGTGAGGTGAGCTGGAATGTGGTTAAGCAACTGGGTAAATATCAGGCTTAAAAACCAGGTTATTCTATCCGTTGGCCCGTCTACGCAGCTGATGATCGGTCTAACCTTAAATAATGACGGATTGGTTGACGCATGATCATCAGGTGATACCAACTTATGTGTTTTATTAAGTAGGTATAGGACGGGACATGTTGGTCTATCGATTTTAAAGTGCGAAATAACCGATGATTTTAAACCCGTAGCCTTTGCCACGCTGACCCATTGATTGTTTAGTTTTCGGTATTGACTTTTGTATTCCTTTTCAGAGGATGGGCGATAGAGAGTAACATCACTAAGATGTTCCTCTGTTATCTCAACATCCAGCTGGCGAGGGATAACTACGATCTCTCCCCCCTTATCACTAACAGACAATCTTATTGTTTTCGAGTTTATTAATTCTCTAATTTCCCGCTTGCCACATTTTTGTGCTGCTGTAAGGTTAGAGATAAACTTTCCATCGCGGTAGTGATCAAGGGTCTTGAGAACGCCGTCCGAAAACATGCGGAATTTTATGTCTACTCCATCGTTAGGGTTCTGCTGTCTAAAGAACGTTTTTGGGAAAGGAGATGGTGGTAGTGTCGCCGCGACTATAATCAGCTGTTCTAAACTTCCTCATTGGAAGTCACGAAAAAACGGTGGGTTTTTCGAGAAGTTGTTGATCGTGTAATTACCAAAGAGCCTTTCGTCTTTGTGTAAGTGTTATTGAAGCGTTTGGCCTAGTAGATTGTATATCAGTATACCCTTCCAGGCTCTGAAGAAGGCGATACTGCCGAAACGTCAACTAGCGTTGTATTGTATTGTGTTTTTATGGAAGTAAACGTATGCTGTTTAAAAACCTCGCGATTGCTGAACAAGAAAACGACACACTTACCGTTGTATTCGTTGTAAGTCTTCCATTTAATTACTTGAGAGCAGCCGCACAGGGTATTACATGAGCAAGAAATGTGCCTGAGTCAGATCATAAAACCAACCTAACGTATGGCCTAAGCATTACTGAGCAATGCCGAGGGTAATAGAAAGTTGGTCTTGGGAATTGCTACATGAGGTGCCAGAGTTCTATAACTTTTAAGAAGTGATACTCTCCAGGAATTGCTGGAAATTTCTTGTCCGTGGTGTGAAGACTAGGAGGTGCGGAATCTAGGAATTCAGCAGGGTCATTTTTGAGTTTCTAGAAAACTTTCTCTTTTGCAGTAACTGCCACGACCGACTTTCTATTAACCTCGGCATTGATCAAGTAATTGTCTTCGTATTTTTGTTGAGCAACCCGAGGTGTTATTATTCTTTGTTCACGATTAAGCTGACGTTTCGGCGGATTTCGCCTTCCTCAGAGCCGCTTCCTATGAGGTTTCCACTAAGTATGTCACGTAGAGCCAACCGCACAGAAATCACATAGAAGTATAATGTCATTATACTAACATTCAATATGTAACACTAACATATACTAACATTATAATGACATTATACTTCCATGTGATTTCTGTGCGGTTGGTCTCTACGTGACATACTTAGTGGAAACCTCATAGAAAGCGGCTCTGAGGAAGGCGAAATCCGCCGAAACGTCAGCTTAATCGTGAACAAAGAATAATAACACCTCGGGTTGCTCAACAAAAATACGAAGAAAATTACTTTCTCTTTTGTCCTCTTAAATTGTGGGTTACTACCTACCACCCACCCTACTTTTAGATTCGGATGACAGTATAGCGGGCTTTTTTCAAGCTAAAACACATTGTGTGTATGCGTTCGCAAACTGTCAACTTGCTACTCCTTAAAAAAATAAGAAGTTCCAAATAAGTGAATGCCCTCACCCACCTGAAGAAGTCTCACCAACATCTGAGATTTTCATCATCAATATTCCTCTTATAAAACAGTTGAGAATTTGTGATTCCTCGAATGAATGAACCCAACTTCTACAATAGCTGGAACATGGTGAAATAACTATTCTATCGGTAAACTAATTCGACAAATGGAAACCAGTTCATCAGGCTGTTTACCTTCTTGATCCACTAGATGATGAATTCAAAGCGGATTGAAAGAAATGAAAGAGAAAACCTGCTAGTAGATAACTTTCATTCTACGTTACTTCATCGAGAAGTAACACTAAAGTAGGTGAAGCTGTTAAATATGTTGTAAAAAAGATGACGAACTGGTGGAAATAAGACAAAAAGGATCTGCTCATGGACTTCTGTTGAAATGGATAATGAACTTTTTCTTCAGACTTCTGAAAGAAACTGCTAGCGGAAGCTGTCTATAACGTCGCCCATAGAGGTTTCTACAGTCACGTGCCCGACTGGGTAATTCAGCCATTGTTTTGGTCAAAGTTAAGAGTCCTACGTCCTATGCAAAGGTCGATTGTGCGATATCACCATGTAGGAGGCTCGCACTGTAAAGTCAGAATTACAACATAGGCTCGAGATAAATATCGTTTTTGATATATCTGGATCAACGGGAAACACAGTATTCGGTTGTTGGCGGCAGGACGCCAACGAAAATCGTTGCTGTATTATGAAAGTGGTGACCATTAATCCAGTATATTAGTAAAATAGTAAATATCGACTCCAAGCTCTTTGGTGTAGTCAGTGGGCAAGAAAATCCTGTTCGTCGACAGAGAACTCAGTGAATTTTATTTAACGGAGATAAAGAGAGTAGAAAAGAGTGGAACCAAGAATATCGGTGTTTGCCATCATTTTTACCTACAAACTACCGTCGTTTTTGTATTGTTTGGTTTTCGCTCAAGAACTCTGCCCTCTTGAACGAAGTTGACATTACGATATGGATGTTAACTAGACTCGTTTTCCAGAGGAACATGAAAAATTGGACGTGTTATTCGTGGATTTGGCTGGTCCCGTTCATGAATTTGGCCTTAGTTGCCCTCCTGCTATTTTCCTTACGGATTCCGTTCTAAGTAAGATGAAGAGCTCATTGAAAAAGAATGGTATGTTTTTTTAAAGTAAGTTTTGAATATTTAAACGTAATGGTTTCTAAAAACATTCGACAGAAATTCGTTCATTCATGCAGTACTAGTTCAGTGTAGACTACTTGGTCTTCTAGGGTGTTGTCTTGCTGTGTGGGACTTTCTTACATTACCAATAGTTTGATGTTGAGTTCGAACTTTTACATACATATACATATAAAAAATAAGCTGGAAAAGGAAATAAGCACGGAAAAGGTTTAATAAAGCGTGAGAATTAAGATTGACAATAAGAGAGCAACGCTTCTATTGTAGACTGTTTAAATATGATAAGAAATAAGTAGTACATCGTGCAAATATGGTTCAACTAATGAATCAGATTTAAGTAAGGAAGCTTGAAGAGTTTAGATTTTACCATATTTTTGAAATAGTTGAAATCACCGATAATGAGAACCCAGGGATATCAGCGACATATCATGAAATCATTGCTGATCGTGGCCCTGTACAGTGATCCAACTGGCACTGGTAAGACGGTTTCGTAGTACGTTAGAAGTCATAATAGAACACGAAGTAGTATACATTCGATAGAGATGTATTCCAGTATGAAACGAGTTTGATTCTGTATAGTATAGGCATTGTCTCATTTTTAAGGAATGGTCGCGCTCAATATAGTAACAAGGGATGACGAGGTGGCTTTGAAAGCGAGACATTCGATTGGTGTCCATTTTCCAGTCTTGTACCATCTACGTTCTGAACAAGATGTAAATGAGGTGACTAATTTCCGAATTTTTTTCGTAAAAACACTATTTTAAATACGCACCATCGAAAAAAATCTGTTAGGACACTACCATGGGATGGAGCTGCCAGCGCTAAACGTTTTAGTAAATTCGTCCACCATTTTGTGTTTCGACGAACGACACGACTCAAATTGCTGTCGTTTTTAGCTCTAAAACAATTTCTCATATGTTGTCAAAAATCACGTTGGAAACGTTTGAATAGAATTTGTAGAGACGATAGACAACATGGACAATAGTTGCGCCTTCATATTGATCCATTTTCAGGTTTTGTTCGGATGTACGACCGCAGTTGAGAATTTTGATCCTTCTAAGTTCTCACGCTCGTTGCGTAAAGATATTCACTGGGTAAGAAAACTTACGCCAGTTGTTGCGAGAATTACTCCCGTGTCTTTAGAGTCTTAGATATTGTCACCTGTTAATAATTGTTACATTTTGTTACCTGGTATCCTTGCTTTTATCAAGTTTTCGTTTGTTGTGCTATTCATTGGTACCATTGTGATGAACGTTGAAGGAGAATCCCTTATAAATGATTTAAGTTGTGGTCTGGTTTCGTCATTGCTTGTTCATCGCTTCTCATTGTGCTCAGACGTTAGCAAACACGCACCGCTGCAACCGGTTCTTTTTTTCCAAATTCTTCCTCATTTCCACAGCTATCACCCAAGAGTTCAACGAATTTCTGAAGATGTAGACGTTCTAAAACGTTTTCAGCAGCTGTAATTGCTTGAGAAGTTCTGAAATACTTCACTTAGTCATAATTTTTCCCATCATGATTGAGTTTTTCATAGGTGTTTGTTCGGCTATGTTAGTGTTGAAGGTTGTATTTTCTGCGGATCATTCGCTTAATCTTCAAACAGTTTCCTGACCCCATCGATTTCCCGTGTTATGGAAACTTTGGAAAATGGAACAGTTGTGCTACAGAACGATGTGATGAATGCTAATAGTTCCTATTAGTTGCTGCCGCTTACCGGAATTACCCATTGGACGAATCAGTTCGAAGGACTTTGTGAATATGGAATTTTAATCCTTGGTCTTCGTGAAGATTTCTGAACACTAGGTCCTGCTGTGCACTAAACAGTTCGTGGAACTGGCTGTCCTTCAGCTGTGAAATGTTTTGTTAACCTTGTTGAGAATGATCTGAGTTTGTTTGCAACATACAAGTCAGATAGAGCGATAGTCCTTCATTTCATATCAGTTCTTTTCTGATAATACGATGGGCCTTCTGGCAAAAACGTATGAGAGATTGCCCATTCTCTGAATGGAGACTAACTATATGTTTGTCAGATGTCTAAGTCTAATATTACGAGGACAATCAGCGACTTTTTGATTTTTTATTGCTTTCATATAACCCATCTTCACGTCAACTGTACAGATCCCAGCACTTCTCACACTCGATTCCTTCCCTGCATCCAGGATCCATGAAGGTCTCCCAACTTCTACGTGTGGCTTCGACAACTGCTCGAGAATTTTTATTTTATCTTAGATGCAGAATGCTGGTGGAGTTATTCTTTCTAGAGTTCTGAGAAATTGTGGCTGGAGCGTTTCCAGTTGAGCTGCAGAGAGTGATTTTTTTTCCGGACAAGTACGGTACCAAGTTCTCTACCCTGGAGGGATAAAGGACTTAGTGAGCGTAGGGGGGATCGGACCGGGACCGTGCTCATGATGATCGGCATCACTACCACTGCGTTATCTGCCCCGTACCAGCGATTAAGCATGTCGGAATTTGGAATTTGAAATGAAGAACCGTCGGAACAGCATATCTATGCTTGAGGTAATATTAAGGCAGATGTATGTAGCATTGGCGCAGATCGAAGTGGAATCGTGAGTAGCTTAATGGACTAATTTAGGAAAACTCGATGTTTAATCCTTAGGTCTAGGAGTGGTCAATGTTGTGGGAGATGCTCCGACAAATAATGTTCTTAACGTGTTCGGGTTTAGCTGGTAGTCACGGTTTTCTTTCCTTCTTCTATCCTTCTGATCTCCTTCTACCGCTTATCTGAAGAGTTTTTTTAATGTTGGGCGTAAATTAACAGCTGTTTGGAGCTCTTGCAGTGTCATAGAGAGAACTAGTTCAGCTATCGTTTCCTTCATCGGTGTTATCAATAACAGAATGCTCTCGAAGCAGTGTAAAAAAATGAAAAATCACAAAATTCTTTTTGAAGGTGGTTTCGGTGTTCCGCTTCTTGAATTATGCAACCGATTTATACACTTCGTGCAACAATAAGTGGCTTGCTAGTGATCATAGTCCGATTCCGTGTAGATCTTAGGACAATAGTGTTACCGGTTAAGCAAAATCTTGGACTGAGAAATATGTGGCACATTACACTGTGGTACACTACGCTCCAATGAGAGACCTCTATCGTCCTAGTCAGAGAAGGGCTTAAAGAAATTCTATGAACATAATTTTGGGCCAACCCTAGTGCCGAAGACGCTGGCTAGGAATTCTTGAAGGTTGGATCTTCATTGCACCACTTCAAGTTCAGCTAACTGCTTCACTCTCCTATTTGTCGGTGGTTTGTGTTTGCGATAACGCAACGAAGACTATCAAGGATATTATGTCTCTCTCTGGTCCCATTTAAGTCTTCGTTATTTGTTTTTTTTTTATTTTCGCTTTAGACGACCCCAAATTACATATTGTACGGATCCCAGTACTTTTATACTGCATGGTCATTTTGCATCGTCATCCATTAAAGTGATCTGTTTCCTTGTTTTTTGCCTAGAACCCTAGGATAAATGAGCTGAACGTTTCCGAGTCTTCGGCGCAGGCAGACATTGGACTTTATGGATTGGGCGGAGTTTCCGAGACAACTGTGTACCAATATATCTATAATACATGTTCTTACGAAGTGCCCTTGTTGTGCTGATGCGAGGTTGATATAAGTTGTCGTTGTTGTTGTTGTTGTTTGATGGCTGATGTTTCGGTGACTTCGCCTTTGAAATAAAGAGAAGTAATTTCAAAAAATAAGGCGAGGTAGCCAAAACATCGGCCGTAGAGCAACAACAACAACAATGACAACGTAGCTATACCAACTCGCATCAGCTAGACAAGGGCAGTTCGTAAGAATATACGCAGACATATTGGTTATTTATGCCGAGTTTTGTACAAAGTCGGTCTTTTGAACTACGTACCAATTTACCTAAGCCGGGGGTATAATAGGCTTTTTTGGTCTGGACGGGGTCGATCCGGCGATCATGCGCGTATTGCACTGCATCTCTAACTACTTTGCTTCCCTCTCCGTTATTTCTTGAAGAAATCATTGTTAATGTGCAGTTTTTTGTTAACAACACCATCAACTCCACTAGCACAGCCGCTATGAAACAATTTTTTAGAACTGAAAATGGCATTTATTGGGCGGTGAGTCCTCGTCTCGACCAATCGATGACATCTTGTTCGACACTTCAGGACGGGTACAATTGTCGCTTACAGTAACCGGACACCTCTTCGTAGGCCGCTCGGTTGTACGTCAATGAAAAAGCGACGCACTGTTTTGAGCTTCCTAATATGGGTGGGATCCATAGGCCTTAGATCACATCGCGTTACAAGATGAAATCATAGTGGGAATTTCGTTTACACTGTCAACAATCAGAAATCATGACTCTGCTGTGAAACCAGTTTTAACGTATTAAAAAAATAGGGATGGAATTGCCGTTTGGATTGGCGCCGCTGGGACAAGTCTCGTAGTTGTGACTCATTGCTTTAAAACGAATTGAAAAGGAACAAGGTAAAGTTCTCGAAAAATAGACCTATCGGAATGGGAGTGCTTTCGTTGTGGTGTTAAGGGTTTTCTTTTGCTGGGAACGAGTTCCAGTGAAAATCGACAATTTATGTAGGGTAAATTTTGTATGGATTTAACTTTGTACAGCGATTAACTTTGCATATCAATCCATTCACAGTAGACAGTTCTGCCAACATGAATTGATATCAGCTCATTTTTTTTCCATAACTACTTTTACAACATAGTTTTTCTGCTGCACTTTTTGTATCTAGTCGGCAGTTTATTCAACATAGACCACAAACCATCATAGCAGAAGAATTATTCTCTGCAGCTTACAACGTTAACAAGAGGATCACAGATGTGAAGACGTGAAGTTTGACTGCGTCTCGTGGCGATTAACTGCCGTTCATACGAGGCATGTTAACATAAAAATGTTGCCAATGGGGACGATTTATATGACTCGTAAGTAGACAGGTGGGACGGCATGAATTTACCGCAATTCACAACTCATGCGGCGAAAAATTAGACGTCGATTGGATTTACCATCCGCCAAACGAAATTTTGCGTCGAACCATTAGTGTTCAAATGTGTGTAATCTGATAATCACTCGTCTCGATTACACTTCTAGTCCTGGTTAATTGCTTTTTAATTCACGACAATGGTCTTTTCATTCGTTTTATTTGTTCACTACCAAAAGTTCTAAGGCCAATTAATGGAAAGTGAAGGACAAACTAAGTTTTCGCTTTAAATTTGAACTTGTGTGTAGATGTATCTAGTTTAGAACATTTCACAGTACCCAAATGTCAGCACCAACATTATTATCTTTAAAGTAGGGTACGAGTGACGTCGAGTTTTGAAGCTGTGCTGGTGCTGGAGGCTACTCTTTTAGAATTAATTGTGATTAAATTTGTAGATCTCAGCACGGAATGACGGAAAATTCTAGAGTCAATTTTCTGTCACCTTCACTGCTTCGAATGCTTTTTTATATCTCGGAAATTGCAAATTTCCCAAAAAGTTGCCGGACTTATGGACGTGAGATCGTCCTGCAACTCAACTTATTCTGAAAATGTTATCGAGCAACGAACAGGTCTTTTTCACCTATGAACTAACAACATACCGTTCAAGTGTAAGATGGTTTAGAACTTTCTTGATTAGTTGTATAGTGCAAAACGTTAAGCCATTACATTTCTAAGGAGTCGAGACAAAATTGGTAAAACAATATTCGACCTTGGTCGTTGTTTAACTAGGTCATGTCCTTTTCAACCCTAGGAAAGGTCATGATGACTAGTCGCTTATTCGAACAGACATTTCATCAACCTATTATCACAATATAGAGCTTTCTCTTAAACAGCTAAGTACCTGTCATATTAGCTAATGTATATTCACTCGTGCTGGAATCGTAACCTCTGTGTCGAAACCGTCACCGTTATACTCTTGAATTTGATACAGATTTTGCCCTGTGCAGTGTTTCGGCGTGATTTGGCTTTCCCACTGAAACAGTGCTCTATGCGAATATGGAACGCCCACCTCTTATGAACACTTTCAAAATTGCATTTAAAAAATCGGGTATCTGCTAACGGGATTTCGTCTGTGTTAGGCGGTTTGCACAAGTATTTATCCATTATTAGCCTCATTGTACCATTTTGTTCTTCCTCTCAATGTCTACATACACTGCTTGTCACTTGAAAA